TCTACGCAATCTTGAGCGTGTACCAACAGCGTACATAGTGTAGTCGTCGGCTACTGGGCCACTTCTATATGATGTATCCTAGTGCAACTTTCTACACCTATCTCCGTCTATATCTACACCAGTCGGTCAAAACACACAGTGCCAAGCAGCCCCAGGGAACGTACTCGTTTATGTTCAGACGCTGTAGGAAGTCCATGTAATCAGTCCTGATGGAGCCGAATGGACCGGGAAATAAGAGGATATTGTTGGCTCCTCGGCCATGACGAAGATAGTGGATCTGCATGGAAAGAACCTCCTCGTAGGCACCAAACATGTGATTGATGTTGCGATCCCGGAGGTTAATTGGAGAGGAGCGAGGAGATGAGACGTTGCTGAAACTGCCGACGAAAGGACGCAGTAGTCGACCACAGACAAGCAGTCCTCTGTGTCCAATAATACGACTGAGAATAAACATGCAATTTCTATAATGATTCAGAAAGAAGAAAATGTAGTCAGATGTTGTAAATTGCAAACCATCGACACATATGTCACTGCATTACCTGGTGCAGCATTAATGTAGATATATGTGTGCAATTTACTCAGAATGACGGGAAGCATGGGTCTATAATATTACTTAAATATGATGACAATATCAGTGAAGACATGTCCGTGATTTGCCATACTTCCATGCAGGACGCACCGTATAGCCTGGCGCAACAAATCCGCCGAGATGGATGCAAGGAGCAGTGTCACGTCGAAGAACATTATCGCCGCGTGAAGCACCATTTTGGATCGCGGGAATTAGTGAGGAGTGGAGATGTCGATTTTACTGACGTCCCAGATGAACCTCAGCCGGTTTGTGAGTCATCCGGCTGACTGGGCTGCCGCCGAGGGCTACGATCAGTCGAGGTGAAAGGTGGGACTAGTGGATTTGGGGTAAGCCCTAGCATCTACCTGACGCCCTGCCGGTGGCTTCTATTTCATGCCATTCGTCCAACCCATACCTCCACAGAGTCAGAAGAAGACCGTTTAACTGACTGATAATTAACCTGTCCTGCGACGGTGGCTGTGGCGGAGATGTTGTGTGGTAGGACAATCAGCGGATGAGGCGAGCTTGTGCGCCTGTGGCAGTCCGTTCTCCTGGTCGACTGTCTGGTTATTCTCTCATGACGCCGTCTGTCAGCCTAAGTTACACCTCCTGCCAATGGGATGCTGTTTGCAACACACGTGACTTGGCCACGTTGTGGAGACAGCTTCACGCTAATCGACGTTGTGTCATTTTCTGGTCGGTATTGTAGGCGGACAAAGGTCATGTGTGCACGCACGCACGCACGCACCGCCCTCTGCGTGGCGCTCAGGTGAACGGATGTCGTGATGTGAGGCCGGAGATACCATACCACCACATCCCTCCTCACCAGCATCTACTCTAAACACGACCACACTCGACACCACACGACGAAAGCACGTGGTTGACACATCTCTCCTCGTAAGTGGCAAGTGTTTTCCTGCTCCTACTCCCTGTGGCCCCTGCGCCGCATGTGTGATCGGAGCCTGAGTCTGTCAGGGTACGTTGCTGATAATGATGACCCGTAAGACTGCCAACTACCGATGGAACTCAAGCCTTGCATTCAGCCCAACGTGCGTATGTGCGCTGTGGCAGACTGGTGGACTGAGAGTCGGGTTTCAATGCCTCCTTCTCGACGTGACCTCTGACACTTTCGCACCCACACACCTACCCACCCACCAACACACACATACGCACACATACGATTAAGCCTAAAAACTGACATCTATCACCCAGTCACAGGCGAGTTTGTCTGAATTGTGCAACGATGTGCCTGATTAAATCAGGGAGATGGCCGACACAGTCGACCCCGATGCAGAATGCACACACACGCATGAATTACATGTCGCCAGCCTCCCCCTCCCCATGTGTGACATCCTGGTGCTTATGTCTGGGGGGGGAGGGGGAGGAGGAATGGGTCAGGTCTCGTGTGTGCAACGCCCAGACTAAGTGACTAGATTTGTCAGTCACTGCGTCCACTCCCACCTGGCCAGCTCGGAGTGCGATTGAGACTGCGGGAGTAAGATAATCCTGGTCTCAGCACATATTCCTCCCTATAGCCAATCTGACGAGCTCCAACCTCTCATGGGGCGCTATAAAGCCGTGGCATGGAGGGTTGACAACTGACGGGATAACTCACAGCCAACCAGGTGTTGTGCGTCTGTGCGGAGAGGCCGACTGATGGGCTGCGAGTGAGGCTAAAATGGCTCCTTGTTAACACGGCATCTATGGCACTGTCACTCCGTGGGACCCGATTCGGGTGTAGTGGGTAAGCCGGGGTGCGGATTTTCGTCGTGTCAGCCATCTGCGCCCTCTCCCACCTCCGGTCTTCTTGACTGCTTCATGAAAAATGGGCCCGATCAGGTGTGGCTATGCAGCTCCACCCGAAGTAAACAAACCCCAGCCATCTGTAATACGAGACCGGTGGTAGGGTCATTACCCTTCCTTCCCTAGTTAGGTCTACTACCGTACCGAGTGTCTAACTTTCAAGCTACCTTCGACAACCTCAACGACAGACACAGACACAATCAACTTCCCGGAGTGACAGCTCGCGGCGATTGCTTGCAGGGCCTTCTGTACGCACCTCCTCGGCAGTAAAGATTGTCCAACCCAATCCGTCTTCCCTGACTTCTGATTCGGGAAAATTTGTCCTGTCGTCGACCATTGTGAACTTTCGAGTCAGCCTCAAATCGCACCAGTGGTGACCTCCGACGTCCACGCTGCTAACACTTACCTTCTGGCGTCTATTTACCTTCTCTGTGTTCTGTATCCTGATTTTGCCTTCAACGATGTCTCCCACGGCACCCGCAGATGCTGCTATTTCTCTCCGTGGAGTCACCGTGTCCCTTCTAGAATTTAGGCAGCAGGCCCCAGAACTCTACGTTTTCCGCATCGGGGCCACCGTTTTCTCTGCCAGGACAACTCAGACTAACTGAGGCACTTCCCCCCCACCAACCCACCATTCTCTCAGAGGTTTAAACTTTCTTATGCGACCCTCCCACTGATGCTCCTTACACCGAGCCCCTTCGACTCACTCCACTTTCTGATCGTCAACGCAACCACGTACTCGTAACAGAAGAAGAAGATGAAGGTTTGGAAGACCGCAAGCCCTCTGAACTTCGCCGCCTCAAAGCCCATAAAGGCTTACCTAATTGCTTGCAATATAGACATGACCGACTTGACCGCCTTCGCGCAGTTCAGTATTGGCTAGAATGAGGATGTAATCCACACACCCAAATACTTCTGAATATCAGCCTGCTGCAATGGTGTACCGTTTAGAAAGTAATTCGTGGGCTTGGAGTCCCTGTAGTTGCCGACATGAAGAACGTTGTACTTACTCACGTTGGAGGGCATAAGTCAGCGCTTCGACCATTCCCCGAGCCTGCTCAGTATGTGGGATCAAGGATGTGACATCGACTTTAATCACACACAATAAGTTCGTTCTGTCTAATGTCAGAAGTCGAGAGGT